TTAAATATCAAGGAAAATGAGAGGAATAAATCTCTTTCAAAACAATTTTTTATAATTTTACAACTAAAAAAATTATTAAATAATAATTGAATAAATTTCACGCGACAATTTAAAATTCAATCACTTAAACGCTAAAATGATCTAACCGCTGTGTTTTCTTTAATGTTCCAAAGTAATCCAATTGTAAATGCAAGTTTAACTTATTTAATTTTAATAATTTACGAGTACAAACAATTGCTGCTAGTTGACGTGAAGATGACATTGCAAATTTAAAATAAAACATAAATTTTTTGAAAATATATATATTTGAAAATTGGTAAGTTTTTGCTTATTTATATACGAATATATAATTTAGATTTTTAAAATATTTGTTTTCAATTATGTTTCATAATGAAATAATAAAAGAATTGCAATAATTTGTTGTAAGTTATATAAAAATTAAATAATTTTTTTTCTTTGCAGTCGTAATTAATATTATTTCAAATGAAATTTCTTAATTTTTTTTAATTTTTAGGTTATATTTACATGTAAACAAACAAAATATAATGACAAGTTCAGCAAGTATTTTGTTAACATTCAAATACATACAAAATAATTTGTATCAAGTAAAGTTGCCTGTGTTAATGCTGATTTATTATTATTTATAATTACACAAAATTAACTCACATCAAACACATTTAAGGCCAGGTCCAAGTGAGGCAGCGCCATCTACATTGAAACTAAAATTTTGGAAAATTTTCAACAGCCTTTTCTTAAAAACAAGAAGATAAAATGCTTTTTCCTTTATGGATAATTGATTATTGGCAAGATATACACCAGCTAAAACTTTTTTTGAGTTAAAATAATAAAAAAAATTTCATGTCAATAAATTAAATATGAGCACTTTTTTCACAAAAACTGTAACAGTACTTTCTCAGAAATTACAATCAAAAATGCAATTTCCATTTGGAAAATTAATAAACGCTAAAAAATACACGACCTTAGATTTACCAATCACGAAAATAACAAAAAAAAATTTTATTAAATATTTAACATATTGATACTGCTTTACTGATTGTGACAGCCCTTTGGTAGATTATGTATTTCAGGTGGTTAGCAACAGCGCCAATCTCCTCCTTTCGGCAAAACTGCGAAACGTCTGTTGACATATATAACCTGCCAAACGGCTAACACAATAAGTAAAATATGTTATGTTAAAATACTTTTTTTTGTTATTTTCGTGATTGGTAAATCTTAGGTCGTGTATTTTTTAGCGTTTATTAATTTTCCAAATGGAAATTGCATTTTTGATTGTAATTTCTGAGAAAGTACTGTTACAGTTTTTGTGAAAAAAGTGCTCATATTTAATTTATTGACATGAAATTTTTTTTATTATTTTAACTCAAAAAAAGTTTTAGCTGGTATATATCTTGCCAATAATCAATTATCCATAAAGGAAAAAGCATTTTACCATCTTGTTGTCAAGAAAAGGCTGTTGAAAATTTTCCAAAATTTTAGTATCAATTTTAATGGCGCTGCCTCACTTGGACCTGGCCTTAAAAAAAACGCCAACTGACAGTTATACACAAACACTTATATAACAATGTACTACGTGACCTGTAATTCCTCGCTTTTCCGCTAGGGTTGATAGTATCGGGGGTATATGTAAATGCTTTTATTAAATCTGGAAAGGCTGCGGGAAAGAATTTTCAAAAACAGCCTATAGAGTGAGTGCTCCTTATATACTACTTCATGGATTTATTGTCACAAAAATTTGACATAATTCTTAACCTAAAAAATATTTCGTGTATCGTGTATTGTATATACAAATAAAATAATGTTGGTGAATCACAGATTGAAAAAAAATGTATTGAATTAAACTTAAAATATGTTTTTAGGTTATGTTGCATTTATATAATAATTAAAATGAGTGACGGGTATTAAATATATGTATAGTATCTGTATATATATATATATATATATAGTATTCGCAAAATTCACGAAGAGGAATGAAAACACGTATCAAAAGGTTGAAAAGCAATTTCCTGTTGGAGTCCAATAGGGCGCGTTTTCGTTTCCTTTAGTCGTTTTAGGCCGATGACTTAGGACGATTGCGTGACAAGGAAATAGCTTGGCAGTGATCAATCCGAGAAATCATTCCTCAAGAATAATGTCATTGAGTATATAGTTTGCTAGCTTTCTTGTTAATAGCTTTTCCCTCATTCGAAGTAACAACTTCATGAGATTACAACCATTTTCCCCTTTTAACTAAATTTAATAGGTTAATCAATATTTTACTTTAAATAACTAATGTTATTAGATATTAAATTAATTTTATTAATCCTGTAATGAGAATAATTCTATAATAAATATTATCGCAAAAAAATTTATTTCGAATATTTCAGAATCGAACTAATTGTAAAACAAATTTTCAAAATTAAAAAAAAAAAATTCTTAAAGTTCCATTTTTATAATTTTTTGAAGTTTGATTCAAATTTAAAATTTTGTCACAGTTTATAGTTAATCAATATAGCCGAGCTTTTTAGAAGGTAGATGGCAGTTTTGCTTTTTATAAAAACGATTCAGAAAAAATTTAAAGAAAGAAAATAGATAAGTGCTGCCATCTACCTTCTAAAAAGCTCGGCTATATTGATTTTATCGACAAATTTTTTCTCATGCATTTTAGGTTATGTTTATAAGCTGTCACTTTTTAATTATGGAATTGCACATTGTCTTTGATTTTCTGTTATTTTCATTTTCAAATTAAATAGTGAAATGGTCTCCGCAATTGTACTATTACCAAAATATTTGAAAAAAATTCGTTTAATTTTGAGTCGATTCAATTCGGCCACGATTGATATAAATTGATTAAATTTTTTGCATCAAAAAATGAGACCGTTTCGTGTATCATTTCTAAAAATGATACACAAAACGATCTCTTTTTGATATAACTTATGTGCATCAAAACGTTGCAATAGAAAAAAATACAACCAAGTTTACTGTGTACTGGCTCAATATCTGCTCAGTACTGGTTTGTCAGTACTGGGAGGGTGGTACTGCACCAGTACTGATACAATGAAAATACCAGTACTTGTTCAGTACAGACTGCCCAGCCTCGGCAGCCAATACTGTACCAGTAGTGCGCCAGTAGTTAAATCTGGTATAATACTGAAATTTTTGATTGGGTCGTATTTTGAAAAAAGTAGGAAAAAGTCGTATAATCCGAGGCCTGATTTTATTATTATTATACACATTTATTTTTTTAATTATTATTATTTTTGTTGTTGTTGTTGTTAACACTAAAAACGAAAACAAAAATGATAGAGGGCGAAATCAATTGACCATGATTGGTAGGTGTGCTTTGAACGAGAGAATTAAGGTAGGATCTATATAAATTTCTGGTATAAAATCTGCCGGTTCAGCGAAATCCCTTAATCCAGAAGTGAAAGGGAGTTTGGGAATATATATATGTAGGTGGGGATCTGAAATGATCAAAGCTTTGCGAGGGCATAACCGAACCAATTAAGCGAACACAGATTCGTAACCGGAGGCAACTCGAGCGAAATGACTGACGGGTTCTTCCCCGCGACGATACGTGTCAAAGCAGTTTAAGCTCTTGCGGCTTCTGAAGTGACAAATTTAATATCAACTTGTTAATTTGTCGTCTGATTGCGGTCAAAAACTTTTATATTTCTTTTAATCACTATAATCTGTGCCATTATATTTTATGTTCAAAATTACAAGTTCCCTTTTCAACACATAAATACACTTAAAAAAAAAAAAAAAAATTCGATTCAAATAATCGGTTACTTGACTATTATCAAATAAATTATTTACTTGAACCAAATAATTTTTATTTGTACCAATAATTTTTGTATTTATAACAAATAATAATATTTTATTGACTCAAATAAAAATTATTTGGTTTGAAATAAATATTTATTTGATAATAATCAAGTAATCGATTATTTGAATCAAATAAATTTTTTTTTCTTGACACTTTCGATTTGGCTAAAAAAATTTTGAGACGCCTAAAATTAATTTGTTAGAATTTTTATTTAATAGAATTTTAGAAATTTCTTTGAGACAAATTTTTATTATGCCAGAATTTACAGTAATTTGTTAAAATTTTTATTTGTTCGAATTTTGATTTAAATGAATTTTCAGTTAAATAAAAATTATCTAATATGGTGAAAAACTGATTATATGCAAATTTTGTCAAATAATAATTGGAATTTATTATAAAACTTTTTTTTAATAACTATTTTATGAAAAAAAAAATATATATAACAAAAAAAGAATATTAATTTTCAAAATTTACTTTCATAGTATTAAAATCTATTATTCTAACATACATAAATATTTTACATAATTATATGAATAACAGTGAAACATTGTACAAAATTTCAGTTTAATAATTTAATATAGAAATTGTTTATTAATTTTGGAATAAATTTTTTAAATGCGTCATTACATCCAACTCCCGTCTTTATAATTATATACTTTTAATTAGTAATTTCTATGAATACGAATAAATACATTTTTGGTTTTTAATTTTTTATATATTTGAAATTTTAATGTTAAACACTCATTTACACACATCATATACACATGTAAAGTATTTATAAGAAAATTTTTCTCAATGCAAAAAAATAGACGCATACTCATTTTTCAGAATGACGACTACTTATTTTATCAAAAAAAAAAAAAAAAAAAAAAAAATGAATAATTCGATGCAAGTAAATAATTGTCATTCGAATACAAATTATTAATCTTTTTAATTATCAGATAAAGTATATGTATTTTCTTCAAATAATTGGTTACTTAGCTATTTATCATACAAATATTTATTTCGTCCAAATAATTTTTATCTAAATCAAATAAACTGTATTCGATCAATAATTTTTGTTTTTAAAATAAAAACCTTTTAATTGACTCAAATAATTATTTAATACAAATAAATATTTATTTAATAAGAGTTAAATGACATATTATTTGAATTAAGTAACTTTTTTTTAATATTGAATTTCGAGGATCTATTTTAGTTTTATTTTTATTTTCAAATTCAGTTTAATGGAAGTAATGAAAATAGTTTTTTTTATACGATGTAGAAAATATTTTGTATTAAAAAAATGATTTGATTTGCAGTTTTATATAATTTATATATATAATTAAATAACAATTAACAAAAGTGGGACTAGAATCGTGATAAGACTAATCTTCATTATAGATTCAGAGGAGTTACATTTATCATCATCGCACTCCTTACACGTATCTTTATTTGACTCGTTACATTTTGATTCCTTTTCTAGTGAACATCCTTTTTCTAAAACTTTCTTACTGTCTTCTGAAATAATAAAAAATGAACGTTATAAAATATTTTTTCGTAAATATATATATATATATAATAGAAAATCATTTTCATTTTATATAAATAAAAAAAATTGAAATGAATTAAAATATGACTCATAACCTCCGAAGAATTTCATCTTACAATAATTAGTGACAATATTATTTTTAGTGTTAAAAAAAAATATTTTAGAAGCTCAATTTCATTGAATAAAATATCAATTGAAATTATTTATAATTTGTTAAAAAACGATACAAAATTTTTTTTTTTATCATTGTACAGAACTATAATACCTATATCTAAAATAAGATAACACAATATCAATCTCGTAGTTTTAAAAAAGATATTATTGAAACAATTTATAAAATTCTATTTAGTATACGCCGAATTTAGTATCAATTTTTTTTATCAATAAATTTTAATCTATTTTAACGAATCAGTTATATAGGCGAGATAATATTACACAAATTCGACACAAATAAAAGTCAATTAATTTTAATTTATTGGAATTTAATTATTTTGTCGGAAAAAATTTTTTTCATGAGTGATTTTTTAGAAACTTGTTGGTTTTCACCATAAAAACCAAATTTTTGGCTATTGTCACTATGATTTTCGTAATCAGCACATGAAAATACATAAAAGTACGTAGTATAAAAAAAAAACCAAAAATATTTTTAAAAAATTCAAAATTCAAAATTTTTTGAAAAATTACGAAAATATTGTAAAAATTGTTTGCTCATTATCGGGCTAGGCTTAAAAGTTTCGTAAAAAGTAGTTATTTGAAAAATTTTTGAAAAAAATCGATCATTACGTCAAATGAGAAAAATGACTTTTTATCATTAAAACTCAAAAATTTGATAGTAATATCGGTTTAAAAAAATTTTCGATTTTTTTTTGAAAAGTACGTTTAAAAACACACGTTTTGAAAAAAAAAGACTTTTAAAATTGATGCATTTTTAAGGAAGTTATGAGCATTCAAAAATTAAAAGTCATGAATATTCTCCAATTTTCAAAATTCCATAACTCGAAAACGGCTTGCTAAAAAAATTTGAAAAAATTCATGGAAGCTAGTCTCAATTAGTGCTAAAAGAAAAAAAAATCGGATATGCCCTTTTTTTAAAAAACATTTTTATTGATGTCGTGACCGCATAAATATTTTTGAGGACATTTATATTTTAAAAATTATTATTATTATATGAGGCAAAATTTCTAAAGTGTATCGCAATTCAAAAAAAAAAAATTCTTATATCGGCTGCAATTTGTATAACATTTAGTACTATGCATGAGTACTTTACCCTCAAATTATTGTTATTTTTTATGAAAAACTGTAGAAAGTAAAGAGGATTAAAATTTTAGTCAAATAGTGAATTTTTTGAAAAATTATACCTATTTGAATAAAATTATGAAAAAAATTTTGATCAATATGTTTTCGAAAGGTTTTTTCCTACATCTTGCGAATGGTGCAAAAAGTTTTTTAAAAAATTCAAAATTTATCTCTTTTTTTAAAATCAAAAATATAAAAAAAAAAAATTTTTTTTAAGAGGATCCTTTTTGTTTCTCTTTTTTTTACCTCTTGAAATGTATACTTTTAATAAACAAATTAAACAAAAAACGACATTTTGTTTAATTTGTTTATTAAAAGTATAAATTTTAAAACGATGCTGAAGTCTACAATAACGTTTATGATTAACGATTAGAAAACAAATTATTTTTTAAAACAGCAAATTTTAAAATGTTTTATCTAAAAAAATGTTTTTTATCATTTTTTTATCAATCAACATTGGCAGAAGTATTTTTGAGCCAAAAATTCATGGAATTTTTCATTCCAAATAATATTTCTTTAAAAATCGTTAATCATAAATATTGTGAACTTGAGCATCGCCATTTTAAGCTTCATTTTAAGATGTAAAAAATTGTCCTTTTTTTAAAAAAATTCAACAATATTTTTTTTTTTTAAAAAAGGGGTGAATTTGGAATTTTTTAATCCTCTGCCGTTTCGAGTGACGATTATCGACAGAAGGGACATATATATATAGAGAGAGAGTGACTAATCACATTATTCAATTACTTAAACCTTTGATTGTGTGAAAAAAATTCAAACCTAGTGGAAGTGTCAGTAAAGTAATTAGTAAATATAAAAATTATTTCAAGTGAATTAAAAAAAATTATTAAGTTTTTTCGAGTTTTAAACGATTATTTTACTAGAAAACAACTGGGAAACCATGTAATATTTAACCTAAACAAATTTATTGAGTTCTTATATAGTAACTTGAGTAAAGGAAATGAAAAAGTGTAACCTAACCTTCAAATATTGAAAGTTTCGATGTCAAAAATTTTTAAGATACAGATGTGGATTTTATAATATGTATATTAAAATTTGATCCTCAAACTTTAGGACATACCGAAATGCTATTTTTCATTAGATTATAATAATTGAGGGGCTGGATACAATAACAACCAGTACGCTCGACAGGTCGCTCTGAAGCCAATCAACACGTCAAAAAAGTGAAAAAATTGAAACTCAAAATTCTGATTTTTTAAAAGCATTACTTTATAGATGATAAAAACATGCATCTTTTTTCCCTCAGAAATTACTTCTAAATCCAATATTTTTTGATAATAAAAGCAAAAAACACAAAAAAAATTTTCTCCAATTTAATAAAATTTTAAAATATAAACGATTATTTCTTTCACAAATAGTAATAAATTTGTTTACAACTTGGTATACATACTAAATTAGGTCTAATAAAGCCATTAAAACATTAAAAAAAAGGCAAAAATTAAATATTTTACATAATATTACTAATAATGTTAATATGTCTTGATTAATTTTTTTAAAAACTATAACAGGAATTGATTTGAAATTTTGCAGAAAACTTCCTGAAATAGTAATGAATAAATATTTTAAGAGAAGATGTAGAAAATAAATTCTGAGAGAAAAAAGATGCGTTTTTTAATCTTCTATGAAGAAGTGCTTTTGAAATATCCGAATTTTGACTTTCAATTTTTTCACCTTTATGTCGTGTTGACTGACTTTAGAGTGAGCGGCCGAGCGTACTGTTTGTTATTGTTTCAGGCCCCTCAATTAAAAATATAATTATATTATTATAAGTGCTTTTTTACCTTTATCGAAAATTGTGTAACAAGTAAAACCATCCTTTGCCCGAGATAATGATCGAACAAAACGATTTTGACGACTTAAAACTGTCAATGGAGAGGCAACTTTGTTTAACAACGATTTGACTGGTCCAGCAGTAGCAGGTACCGGAGTAGCAGGTGCCTGAGTAGCAGGGGCCGGAGTACCAGGTGCCTGAGTAGCAGGTGCCGGAGTAGCAGGGGCCGGAGTAGTAGGTGCCGGAGTAGCAGGTGCCGGAGTAGTAAGTGCCGGAGTAGTAAGTGCCGGAGTAGTAAGTGCCGGAGTAGTAGGTGCCGGAGTAGCAGGTGCCGGAGTAGTAAGTGCCGGAGTAGTAAGTGCCGGAGTAGTAAGTTCCGGAGTAGTAGGTGCCGGAGTAGTAGGTGCCGGAGTAGTAAGTGCCGGAGTAGTAAGTGCCGGAGTAGTAAGTGCCGGAGTAGTAGGTGCCGCAGTAGTAGGTGCCGGAGTAGCAGGTGCCGGAGTAGTAAGTGCCGGAGTAGTAAGTGCCGGAGTAGTAAGTGCCGGAGTAGTAGGTGCCGGAGTAGTAGGTGCCGGAGTAGCAGGTGCCGGAGTAGCAGGTGCCGGAGTAGCAGGTGCCGGAGTAGCAGGTGCCGGAGTAGCAGGTGCCGGAGTAGCAGGTGCCGGAGTAGCAGGTGCCGGAGTAGTAGGTGCCGGAGTAGCAGGTGCCGGAGTAGCAGGTGCCGGAGTAGCAGGTGCCGGAGTAGCAGGTGCCGGAGTAGCAGGTGCCGGAGTAGCAGGTGCCGGAGTAGCAGGTGCCGGAGTAGCAGGTGCCGGAGTAGCAGGTGCCGGAGTAGCAGGTGCCGGTGTAGCAGGTGCCGGTGTAGCAGGTGCCGGTGTAGCAGGTGCCGGTGTAGCAGGTGCCGGTGTAGCAGGTGCCGGTGTAGCAGGTGCCGGTGTAGCAGGTGCCGGTGTAGCAGGTGCCGGTGTAGCAGGTGCCGGTGTAGCAGGTGCCGGTGTAGCAGGTGCCGGTGTAGCAGGTGCCGGAGTAGCAGGTGCCGGAGTAGCAGGTGCCGGAGTAGCAGGTGCCGGAGTAGCAGGTGCCGGAGTAGCAGGTGCCGGAGTAGCAGGTGCCGGAGTAGCAGGTGCCGGAGTAGTAGGGGCCGGAGTAGTAGGGGCCGGAGTAGTAGGTGCCGGAGTAGTAGGTGCCGGAGTAGTAGGTGCCGGAGTAGAAGGTGCGGTAGTGGTTATTGAAGGAACTAAACAAACTTCATCTCTCTCAACACATTTTCCATTACTATCGATTATACAGACTTTACATGTTAAACAGTAACCTGCAACAAAATAAATTTTTTTTGTTCTTCTATTTCCAAAATGATTTTTTACAAAGTGCACATGTTTTAAAATCTATACAAAGTAAACATAATTTTTTATATAAAAAAAAAATTATTTTTAAGAGAAGATATTTAGGTACTGAAAATGTCATATATGGCTCATTTCATTTAAATTGTCATATTCGTGTCCCTTGCCAAAATTATTGGATATAACCTTAGTTAAAATTAATTTGTTTATATAGTAAAAAGCAATAATTTTCAATAATTTTTCTACTTGGGTGAAAATTTTCCAACTGGGCCACCTAAAACTGACTTTTCAATTTTAAAATATTTTTTTTCATAATCTATTGTAGGAAGCCGAATTAAAAACATTCCTGAAATGCGTTTTTAAAAAAATTAAGTTTTTAATTATTTATTAACAGTAGAATATTTTGTTACCTTTCCACTAAATTTGCAATTTCTCTGTTGCTTGTTAATGAAATTTAATAAAATTTGGTGAGCACATAGAAAAATTATGTCTCTTTGAAATGCAATAGAAATTTCAATTAATCTTTATTGTTTATGCAAAAAAAATTATTTATTTAATAAACAAATGAATATTTAAACTATTTCTCATATGTTTAGGAAAAAATTTCAAAAACGACATAAATCTACACTTTCTCAACTTTAATTTAAAAAAAAAAAATCTTAGTACCTTTAAAAAATGAGTAAATGACGCGAATTTGAAAAGCAACGTGCAAGCGCTTGAACAGTTACCACTGCCGCGCGCGGCGCTCTACTACGCGTCGAAGCCTATTCTCTGTTATCGAATTATTGACTAGAATTCTTGAATATCAAAATTTTTCTTTATTTTATTATTCAACAATCATATAACTTTTCATTACAACTGGTTGCTGAGAATTTTTTCAAAAAACGAATATTCATTGAATTATTTTGCAAGTAACAGAATTAGTATCACTAGAGAAAGTTTTACAATCCAATGTAAAATTTTCTCTAGTGATACTAATTTATACTAATACTAATTTGGCTAAGTAAAAACTTGTTTTAGCGAAAATTTAATTAAATAAGAATTTGGTTAAATAAAAATTAGGCTTTAATAAAAATTCTATTAAAAATAAATTCGGTTATATAAAAATTCGGTTAAATAAAAATTCTGCTGTTAAAAAATTTGGTTCTATATTTATAAGAAAAAATTTAATTTTATGAATTTGTTATTTCATCGAAAAGATTTTAATTGGGACGCTCAATGTGTACTAAGTTTGAATTTTCGAAAATTAATTAAACGTATAAACAAATTTTTCAATAGCAGAATTTTTATTTAACCGAATTTTTTTTAATAGAATTGTTATTAAAGCCTAATTTTTATTTAATTAAATTTTCGCTAAACAAAAATTTTTATTTAGCTAAATTATTATTACTATAAATTATATTAGTATAAATTAGTATAATTCGATAACAGAGAATAGGCTTCGATGCGTAGTAGCGCGCCGCGCGCGGCAGTGGTAACTGTTCCAGCGCTTGCACGTCGCTTTTCAAATTTGCGTAATTTACTCATTTTTTAAAGGTATGTACTAAGATTTTTTTTTAAATTAAAGTTGAGAAAGTGTAAATTTATGTCGTTTTTGAAATTTTTTCCTAAACATATGATAAATAGTTTAAATATTCATTTGTTCATTAAATAAACATTTTTTTTGCATAAACAATAAAGATTAATTGAAATTTCTATTGCATTTCAAAGAGACATAATTTTTCTATATTATTATTTCTATATTAAAAAAATAAATTTTTTTAAAAACGCATTTTAGGAATGTTTTTAATTCGGCTTCCTGCAATGGATTAGGAAAAAAAATATTATAAATTTGAAAAGCCAGTTTTAGGTGGCCCAGTTGGGAAATTTTCACCCACTTACAAGGACATAAAAGTTATTTTCATAATATTGGCAGAACAAAAAGCAGGCAAAATGTCATAAGTGTAATGCGTCCCCGGAAACATTTTCAATGTTCAAATGAATGAAATGTCGAAAATATAGTGTTTAAACGAGATTAAAAAAATGTTTCGTGAAGTATTAGTTCTATATTTAAGGAAAATCAAGTGTTGGTAATTAAACTTTATTTTATACAATTTCCAGAAAATGACGTGTCCCTCACTTTTGTATTTTTACGTTTTGCCGGCAGAATTTCCTACTTTTACCTGCTATTTAAATTACCTTTATGAGCAAAAAAATTTCTTTACCATCGCATAAGCAGCAGAACGCAACAACGAAGTGTGTGAAAGAAACTAAAACGATATAAGTATAAATCTGTTCGTTTGTCATGGGGGCAGAAAAAGCCGAAACACTTTCGTAATTGAATATTTCTGTCAACAGTGTAACGCCTTGAAAATGGTTAGAAAATATTTTGAATTTTATATCGGTATGGAATTTTTAATGTATTTTTGGATTCTCTTTCGAATGAGACCAACCCCGTCGATATAAGTATAACCGTTTTCATTTTATAAGCGAAAAACGAGTAAAATGTCAACAATGTAATGGTCATAAGTGTAATGCAAATTTATATGGCTTCAGTAAACGTAATAAATCACAGAGGCCTACAAAATAAAACTTTTTTCTTTTATCTTATTTATATCAGAAAAATGGTTTCTATTGTATTTTTGGGCGCTGAACATGATCCCGGATCTTAAAATTGCCTAGCATGTCAGGATTTTGAAAAAAGTGGGGATAAAAACCCCCCAAGAAACATGTTTTTATGGTTGTTTAATATGATTTTTCTCTTTAACCTGACGTGGTAAAAACTTCAAAAAAGTTTTAAATTATAGCATAAATCGTGTACTATACATATGACCCATACACGCAACCCTCCCCTCTAATTTTTTCCATAAAATGGAGTTATTACCCACCCCCAAAAATTTTTTATTTTAATTCTTTCGGCGAAATGAATAGATGTTTATTTGTTTAATGTTCATAATGTTTAAGGACATAAATTTTGCATTTTGCCTATATAATTTTTAACACCTTCGCAATCCAGTTAAAAATCACTTATAGGCCTAATAAGGTTCCAAACAGAGCTTCCAAAAAAAATTTGATTTCATCGTATTTAAGATTTTTGGGTTCATCTGTCATCAAATTCGAATTCAGCGACCCCAAAAACTTCAGTATATTTATCACCGCAGTCAAATCAAATTATATTTAGTATTATTATTTTATCAAAAATTAACAGAAAATTTTTTTTATAAGATATGACGATTTCTGCCAAAAAAAAAACCGTCTGCCATAAGAAATATATGACTTTAATTTTGTGACCACTATTTATTTTATTAATTTAACATGTTAAACTATGTATAAAAAAATGAGTTTCAACCTTAAAATCAAAATTTTCCAACTCAACTTTTCTGGAAGCTGAATATAACAATTTAAATAATGAGCCATACAAGTACTTTCAAGTTTTTTTTTTTTTTTTGACTTTCACTTAAGAATTTACATATTAAAGAAATAATAATTTTTCCAAATACAGAAAAAAATTAAAGGAAAAAAAAACATACCTTGATTAAATAGTGTGAATAATAAAATGCCAAAAAGTAATTTTTGTTTTAACGTCATGTTGTTGAATAAAAAAAAAACACTTATGAATATTGAAATTAATCAAATGTAAATTAAATTTTTTTTAATAAAATTTAACTGAACAAAAACATAAGAGAAAAAAAATTTATTTATTTTTTTTGAAAATGTAAAATTTTTGCAATAGCTGCCGGAAATTTGAGAGTGCTCACACTAGCACCTCTGATAATGAACTAATCAGTTCTTCAAGTCTTATCCACATGCACCAGTGTTAAGTAATGTGTTTAAAAAAAAATTGGCCAATATTGTTATTATCACACTAAAGAGTAGGCGACAAAAAAAAGATAAAACGATACTTTTATAATTAATATGTTATATCATATTAGTAATAAAAAATTTTCCCTCATTGTTACCGGACTTCCGTTTGAAATATAGATTTAGCATTTTGATGGTTATTTACAGTTTCAAAAAGAATTAATATTATTTGAGCTTGTTACAGTTTTGAGTCTTCAGATTAAGTTTTTTTTTTTTTTTTTTTGTGTAAATTCCGTTTTTACAGGCTTTTGGTATCGTTTTTCATTCCTTTGAAACAATATTCATAAATTCAATTTTCAATTATAAATAGAATATTTGCTTTTTGATAAAGTGTATGAATTTTCATATATAGAGCATGAAATTTAAATAAATATATATGCTTATGAATTTTATATGAAAGTACCTACACATAGATAGAAATTTGTTTTGTTTTTTTGCAAAAAATAAAAAAAAATTTCTTTGAATTTTTTGTTTTGTATTATTGAATTGATATAATTTTTTTTTTTAATGCAAAATTATAATTCTCTATAACTATTTAAAAATTTTTTTTAAACATTGTACAGTAAAAATAATAAATATTTTTTGCTATAGTATGTATTAAAATATAATAAACAATTTAACAAATTTTGTTTATAATTTTAGAAAAATGTTTTTTTAATTTATATATATTCAATAATAATTATTAAATACCCCAGAGTGATAAATTCAAAATTTAATCTTATCTTATATTGTCCACATATATATATATAGAATAGAATCAAATAATTGATTTTATTGCGAACTATGTATAAAGATAGTGATTTCCAAATCTATCAATTTTTAGTTATGTACGCTAATAAAAAAAAAAGTTTATCTCTTTTGATATTATTAAAAATTTACAGCAGATATTACATATATCACCCAAAAAAAAATCTTTTATTAAAAATTTTTTATTATTCTATCCAGTTTTTTTGCTCTCAAAAGTAGAATTAAAAAACGAACCTATTTTTTTTTTTAATTTAACTATTATAGAATATTTATTATTTCAATGTTGTTTTTTAACATTTTACCATCAGTGATCGTGCTACAAATATCTTAAAAATTTGCTTTTGAGATAAATTAAAAATTTTATTTATAAGCAAATGTTACATTACAAAAAAATACTTAATTTTATAATCATTAATTCAGTAAATTTAATAAATATTAATTTCTTACAAAGTAGGGGAATAGTGTCAGGGTTGGACACAGTTTTGGTTTTTTGTTTATAAATATTTTGTTTAGATAAATTCAGTCAATTGTGGTATATGGGTGGAAAGATCTACAAAAGAGGAACACTTTTGCTGTGGACCGTAAATTGATTGGTCCAAAATTAAAAAAGTTATAAACATTTAAAAAAAAAAAAATGTAGTCAGGGTTGGACTTTTCAGTCAGGGTTGGACACTTTTTGAAAATCGAAACGCATTATTGGTAAAAACCTAAAATAGCATTTGTAATGTTTTTTATTCTTATTTTTTCATGTTTATCTTTACTTATTGTTTACAAATTGTAAAGCTTCATGGGTTTAAAAAAGGAATGAACTCAAATTACAAAAAATAACGCTTTATTGTTCCAAATAACTCAATGAAATGATAAACAAAAATTATACAATTTAAGTATTATTTTTCTAATATCTTTGGCACAATTTTGCACTGAAATAGCAGTAAAATAAAATTTATTTATAAGTTGTGTCAATTTCATAATTAATATGGGTGTCCAACCCTAACTAGAAGCATCATTTTCGAATTGTGCTAACTATAACCAGACATGTGTCGCGATTCGATTTTTCACTTTTTTTCTTCTTAAATTATGTACCCCACAATACATTCAATAAGCTTACTTTGCCAAATTCTTGCTTTTTTTACACATTTTTTAGGTTTATTCATAAGTCAAACAAAACTTTTTTTGTCTCTTCGATTGCACCGAAGTCACAGGAGACGCTACTTTTGATTCTCCAAAAATGTAATGCCACAAAAAGTTAGGTTACATTACTAGAAGATTCGTCACGTACGCACACAGGTGGCGCTAGTGTTCTTATTTAAAAAAAAGCCAAGTGTCCAACCCTGACACTATTCCCCTACTTATTATTTCAAATGGTGATATATATATATTATATATATATATATATATCTTTGATCGCTACATCAAAAGCAAATTTAGATTATTCTCATTCTCAATCAATTCTCCGCGTAGCGCACGATTTGGTGTCTGAAACTTTAAAAAAAAATTTTTATCGAAATGATAAATATCAATATGTATTTTTGAAGATAAAGTGTCAAGAAATAAATATCCATGGTGGGCCGGACAAATTGTTTATAATTTTTTAATTTTTTAAACAAATTAAAAAAAATTTTTTTTTGCTTTTTGAATTCTATAAAATAGTTGAAATTTGATTTAAAATGTTAATGAAAATTTTTGGGGTAACTCACAAAAATATATATAGCGCGAACGTCAATTAAAAATTTTGATTTCGGTAATTTACGTAAATTTTCGAGGTAATTTATGGAAATTTATGCGGTAATTTATAGAAATTTGTATAACATTCATAAAAATATGTAAAACATAAATCACAATTAAAAATTTTAATTTTCGTAATTTACGGAAATTTCCGCGGTTAGAGTGCGCGCGTGTGATCAATTGTTTATATCTCAAAAACTTTAAAAGATCCCACTCTGAAAATTACATATTTTATAGAAAATTAGTCAAGCTTTCCATTGAGACAGTTAAAAAAAATTTTTTTAAATCCGATTTTGCCTCATATAAGGATTTCTAAATTAATACACAAACAAAAAATCTATTCCGGATCAATCCGTTTCATTTCGAAGTTTAATTTTAAATCTTTTCAATCCTGAAATTCCATTTCGAATCAATACGAATTTAAATTTTGTTCCTTTTAAATTATGAAATTTCATTCTGAATCAATCCGTTTTCAAGCCAATATAGGATAGATTTGGAATTAAATTTTAGTATTCTAAAGGATTAAAATTCAGTTTTGGAATGAACACAAATTGATTTAAAAGGAAAAAATAGAACTGAGCAGAATTAAAATTCAGTTTCAAAATGAAAGAAATTGATTCAGAAAAAATATTTTATTAACTTACATTAAAATGATAGGTAGAAACTTATTGGTTCAAACACGCAAATTTTTGAATGTCTCGAAATAATAAATTATTTAAAACTGATTAAAATTTATTTCATAATTTTCGTTAGGGATAATTTCCAATACGGTCTAAAATTGGTTCAGTATAATGTATGTCGAAATACATACTACAAACATTACTGAGCCAGAAGTGCCAATCAAATCGTCCCATTAATGTGCCAATATTAATACCCATGTTAAAAAAATTCCCCGGAAAGGGCCCTCTGGAAATTTCTGTGAAAATTCAGTACGAGAATTTCATAAAAATTCCATGAAATTTCCATAGAATTCCTATCAAGTTTCTACGAGATTTTCATGTAATTTTCAGTTATAAAAATTTTGCTAAATACAATTGCCGGTAACACAAAAAAAGTTTATGTAAATTCACAAATTTAGATATTTTGCTAATTTTGGGGCGCATGATTATTCCCCAAATTTCAATTTCATAATTTTCAAGACATCGAAATTCTTATCATAGAAATGTCATTCCACATAATTTTTATATTGCGAAATACCATTTAACATAATTTTTATTTTTTCGAATAATCATTTATTCTAATTTTCAAATAATTGAATTATCTATTGACATAATATTTATTTTGCCAAAAACTTCTTTAGCATAAACTTCATTCTTCCGAATGGTTATTTGTCACAATTATTAATTCTCCGAATGATTACATAACCTAAAATTCATTCATACTAATCGCCATTTAATATAATTTGCATGTTTTTGAGATGTCATTTTACATAATTTTTATATTTAGAAATAATCATTTATTCTAATTTTTAAATAATCAAATTACCTTTTAAAATAATTTTTATTTTGAAAAATGACCATTGGTTAGAAGTTTTAAATGTTCGAATTTCAATTATCTAGAATTTTCATCTAATCACATTTCTATTTAGTATAATTTTTACTGCTTCGAAATATTATTTTACATAAATTTCAATTTTCTAAACTTAATTTGTTATAATTGTTATTTTTCTAAAATTCACATAACCTAAAATTCACTGACACTATTTGCTATTTGACTTAATTCACAAAACACAGAAAATTTAAATGTCCTAAATTTTGTTTTGCCGATATATAATTTTTCATAATCTCTATTTCTTATAATAGTCACTGACATAAATTCCCTTTTTCGAATTTTCAAATAATACATGATCCAAACAATCGAAATTTCATTTCATCTAAAATATCGTGTCTTAGTTTTTAAGCAGTTGTTTCCCATCTGTGAGTGTTTTATATATTTTGATTAAAATTGTCGGTGAAGAAAATAAAGATTTTTTTTTGTTTATGTAGAATTTACATCTACTTTACCGACTATTTTAATCAAAAAATATAAAACACATAGATGGGAAACAACTGCTTAAAAACTAAGACGGGATATTTTAGGTAAAATGAAATTTCTGTTGATTGGATTATAATTTGAAAATTCGAAAATGGGAACTTATGTACAGCGACTATTATATGAAATAGAGATTATGAAAAATTATATATCGGCAAAATAAAATTTTAGGATATTTGAATTTTCTGCGTTTTGTGAATTATGTCAAATAGCAAATAGTGTCAGTGAATTTTAGGTTATGTGAATTTTAGAAAAATAACATTTATAACAAGTAAAGTTTAGAAAATTGAAATTTGTATAAAATAATATTTCGAAGCAGTAAAAATTATACTAAATGGAAATGTGATTAGATGAAAATTCTAGATAATTGAAATTCGAACATTTAAAACTTCTAACCAATGGTCATTTGTCAAAATAAAAATTATGTTAAAAGGTAATATGATTATTTAAAAATTAGAATAAATGATTATTCGAAAAAATAAAAATTGTGTTAAAAGTTATTTCGAAATATAAAAATTATGTGAAATGACATTTCAAAAACATGCAAATTATATTAAATGGCGATTAGTATGAATGAATTTTAGGTTATGTAATCATTCGGAGAATTAATAATTGTGACAAATAACCATTAGGAAGAATGAAGTTTATGCTAAAGAAGTTTTTGGCAAAATAAATATTATGTCAATAGATAATTCTATTATTTAAAAATTAGAATAAATGATTATTCGAAAAAATAAAAATTATGTTAAATGGTATTTCGCAATATAAAAATTATGTGGAATGACATTTCTATTATAAGAATTTTTTCTGTATTTTATTAAAACTCTCTGTATTGACTTAAATGAATCAAATATTAAATTTATTTAGCAATAAATACATAATTTATATGATAAGTAATAATAAAGCTATACATGAACATGCAGTCATTTTGATCACCGAATCCTTATAGAAAGTTTACTATGACACGTGGACGTCTAATCAACATTTAATATTTTTCAAACGTTCTTTAGAATCTGGTGAAACATGAATTTTTTTAGTGTTGAGTTCAAGACTCTTAAATTTTAGATACGCAGCATGTTTTGTTCTGGGGACTTGTTAATTAAAAAAAAATTCTTTAAAATTTCAAGTTACCTATAGGTTAAAAATTCGCAAAATATCTTGTGAATTTACATAAACTTTTTTTTTTGTCACGCAATTATTGTATTCAGAAATAATGTTCACGTATTTGAAGAATATTTTTGTCTTATATAAGTTATTAAACAATTTTTATAGATTTAATTTCTTTATGAATTTTAGTAAAAATTTAATTTTTTATAAGCGGTAATGCGGTAATGAATAATATTATATTAATAATATTGTTAATAGGTTTTTAAAAAATTAAATTTTTTTATTTTGTGTTATTAATTATTAATACGTAATTAATACATTGTTTATTTACATTACTTTGGCATATATACATTTTCAGTTTTCTCAGGCATAGCTTATCAAAATGTATTTCCTTTTACATTCACATGTCAGCGTGTAGAATAGTGGTTAGTGAATCGAACTTCAGTACGTTAGAGATTAAGGTGTTCGATTCCCGCCAGAGTTAGAAATTTGAATATAATTATCAATTTGCGTTTTATATCAGAACATATGCTACACATGTATAATGAATTAATTAATATGACAATTTTTTTTATTTTTGACAATACTGTGCTTCTAATGCCGTTAATGATTAACACCTCGACAATTAACCCATAGTATTTTCTGCCAAGCCCAAGAGTTGGTGTTTTTTCATATGCTTTTACTATTTTTTTTTTGTTCTTTTTATTATTTCGTTGTAGAAAGTGTTTTCTTAAAAAAAATATTTATTTAATGTAAATATAATTATTTCTATTCTACCTACAATTAATATTAAATAACTATAAACAAAAGTGGGACTAGAATTGATATTAAACTAATCTTCATTACAGTTTCAGAGGAATTGCATCCATCTTCGTCACATTGCTTACAGAAATCTTTATTTGACTCGTTACATTTTGGTGGTTCCGTTTCTTGGGCACATCCTTTTTTTATAACTTTCTTATTGTTGTCTGGAAAAACAAAATTAACATTTTATATAAAATTTTATAATGCTTTTTTAAACTCAACACAAAAGTTTGCGGCGTATTTTTAGTAAGCTTGCAAATGGAAGATTCCCAACCTTGCCATAATCGTATGTGAGACTTTCATTAAAATCTTGAAAACTTACTACAAGCTGGCCGCAAGCTTTTGTGATATTTTTATATGTATATATATATGAATAGAAATGAAGATTGTCGTTTTTATTTTGATGTTAACACAATATTATCTTTCTTTCCTAACACGATGGTAGCAAAAAAAGTAGTACGGTAAATCAGACAGACGTCAGGCACTTTTAAATTTTAAATACCAACAAATCCATAAGAGACAGAAACAAATTTGATTGTTACTAAACATGTTTCATATCATCATAAATAATCTTAGGCTTTGTAAGTGAAGACAAATATTTTTTTCTAAGTTTTTGAAAGTGTCCAACTACTGTCTTTTTTACTTGTTTCTTAGAAAATTTTTTTAACGAATAAAAAATTGGTCTTTGCACATATCGTTCATTTCGAGGGGGAATTTACTCAGGTAGTCAAGTGTACACTCATCCTGTAATACTCGTGTAATACCTGGTGATACCGTGTAATACCTTGTAATAATGCCGTATTACGGTGCTGTAATAACGCAAAAATCTCTGTAATACCGTGTAATACTCTGTAATAACGTGTAATACTTAGTAATACGGGTAATATGAGGTGTAATACCGGTAGTCAAGTGTACACATTTTTAACTAGTAAATTCCCCATCGGTTCACTTAGTGGTTTTGTATATAAAATTGTAAGGAAAAATCGCACGTGTAAGAAATTGAAAACTATCTTGATTGTATTTTTACAACAGTATTAATTGAAAAGAATTCTTTAACATGAACATAATTTCTAATACATCCAAAAAAGTTTTAAAAATTTGAAGAAAAAGTTTTATCTTTACCATAAATTGTGTAACAGGCAAAACCATCCTTTGCCCGAAATATGGATCGAACAAAACTACTTTGACGGTTCATAGCAGTAGTAGTAATACTTGGTTCAGTTGTTGTTGTACTTGGTTCCGTAGTAGTGGTAGTTGGTTCCGTTGTTGTAGTACTTGGTTCCGTTGTAGTTGTAGTTGGTTCCGTGGTTGTTGTAGTTGGTTCTAAAGTTGTTGTAGTACTTGGTTCGGTTGTAGTTGTAGTTGGTTCCGTAGTAGTGGTAGTTGTTTCCGTTGTAGTTGTAGTTGGCTCCGTTGTTGTAGTACTTGGTTCCGTAGTAGTGGTAGTTGGTTCCGTTGTTGTAGTACTTGGTTCCGTTGTAGTTGTCGTTGGCTCCGTTGTTGTAGTACTTGGTTCCGTGGTTGTTGTAGTTGGTTCTAAAGTTGTTGTAGTACTTGGTTCTAAAGTTGTTGTAGTTGGTTCCGTTGTTGTAGTACTTGGTTCCGTTGTTGTAGTAGTGGGTTCCGTAGTAATGGTAGTTGGTTTAGTTGTTGTACTTGGTTCTAATGTTGTTGTACTTGGTTCTAATGTTGTTGTAGTTGGTTCCGTTGTTGTAGTTGGTTCCGTTGTTGTAGTACTTGGTTCAGTTGTTGTAGTAGTGGGTTCCGTAGTAGTTGTAGTTTGTTCCGTGGTTGTAGTACTTGATTCGCTTGTAGTTGTAGTTGGTTCCGCTGTTGTAGTACTTGGTTCCGTTGTAGTTGTAGATGGTTCCGTTGTAGTTGTAGTTGTAGTTGGTTCCGTGGTTGTAGTACTAGCTTCGGTTGTAGTTGTAGTTGGTTCCGCTGTTGTAGTACTTGGTTCCGTTGTAGTTGTAGTTGGTTCCGTAGTAGTGGTAGTTGGTTCCGTTGTTGTAGTACTTGGTTCCGTTGTAGTTGTCGTTGGCTCCGTTGTTGTAGTACTTGGTTCCGTTGTAGTTGTAGTTGGTTCCGTGGTTGTTGTAGTTGGTTCTAAAGTTGTTGTAGTACTTGGTTCGGTTGTAGTTGTACTTGGTTCCGTAGTAGTGGTAGTTGGTTCCGTTGTTGTAGTACTTGGTTCCGTTGTAGTTGTAGTTGGTTCCGTGGTTGTAGTACTTGGTTCCGTAGTAGTGGTAGTTGGTTCCGTTGTTGTAGTACTTGGTTCCGTTGTAGTTGTCGTTGGCTCCGTTGTTGTAGTACTTGGTTCCGTTGTAGTTGTAGTTGGTTCCGTGGTTGTTGTAGTTGGTTCTAAAGTTGTTGTAGTACTTGGTTCGGTTGTAGTTGTACTTGGTTCCGTAGTAGTGGTAGTTGGTTCAGTTGTTGTACTTGGTTCTAAAGTTGTTGTAGTTGGTTCCGTTGTTGTAGTACTTGGTTCTAAAGTTGTTGTAGTTGGTTCCGTTGTTGTAGTACTTGGTTCCGTTGTAGTTGTAGTTGCTTCCGTTGTTGTAGTACTTGGTTCCGTAGTAGTGGTAGTTGGTTCCGTTGTTGTAGTACTTGGTTCCGTAGTAGTGGTAGTTGGTTCTGTTGTTGTAGTACTTGGTTCGGTAGTAGTTGTAGTTGGTTCCGTGGTTGTAGTACTTGCTTCGGTTGTAGTTGTAGTTGGTTCCGCTGTTGTAGTACTTGGTTCCGTTGTAGTTGTAGTTGGTTCCGTTGTAGTTGTAGTTGGTTCCGTGGTTGTAGTACTTGCTTCGGTTGTAGTTGTAGTTGGTTCCGCTGTTGTAGTACTTGGTTCCGTTGTAGTTGTAGTTGGTTCCGTGGTTGTAGTACTTGGTTCGGTAGTAGTGGTAGTTGGTTCCGTTGTTGTAGTACTTGGTTCCGTTGTAGTTGTCGTTGGCTCCGTTGTTGTAGTACTTGGTTCCGTTGTAGTTGGTTCCGTGGTTGTTGTAGTTGGTTCACTTGTTGTAGTAGTGGGTTCCGTAGTAGTGGTAGTTGGTTCCGTTGTTGTAGTACTTTGTTCCGTTGTAGTTGGTTCCGTGGTTGTAGTACTTGCTTCGGTTGTAGTTGTAGTTGGTTCCGCTGTTGTAGTACTTGGTTCCGTTGTAGTTGTAGTTGGTTCCGTGGTTGTAGTACTTGGTTCCGTAGTAGTGGTAGTTGGTTCCGTTGTTGTAGTACTTGGTTCCGTTGTAGTTGTCGTTGGCTCCGTTGTTGTAGTACTTGGTTCCGTTGTAGTTGTAGTTGGTTCCGTGGTTGTTGTAGTTGGTTCACTTGTTGTAGTAGTGGGTTCCGTAGTAGTGGTAGTTGGTTCCGTTGTTGTAGTACTTTGTTCCGTTGTAGTTGTAGTTGGTTCCGTGGTTGTAGTACTTGCTTCGGTTGTAGTTGTACTTGGTTCGGTTGTAGTTGTAGTTGGTTCCATAGTAGTGGTAGTTGTTTCCGTTGTAGTTGTAGTTGGTTCCGTGATTGTAGTACTTGCTTCGGTTGTAGTTGTAGTTGGTTCCGCTGTTGTAGTACTTGGTTCCGTTGTAGTTGTAGTTGGTTCCGTGGTTGTAGTACTTGGTTCCGTAGTAGTGGTAGTTGGTTCCGTTGTTGTAGTACTTGGTTCCGTTGTAGTTGTCGTTGGCTCCGTTGTTGTAGTACTTGGTTCCGTTGTAGTTGTAGTTGGTTCCGTGGTTGTTGTAGTTGGTTCAGTTGTTGTAGTAGTGGGTTCCGTAGTAGTGGTAGTTGGTTCCGTTGTTGTAGTACTTTGTTCCGTTGTAGTTGGTTCCGTGGTTGTAGTACTTGGTTCCATTGTTGTTGATGGAACTGCACATACTTCCTTTGTTTCCTTACAATTTCCTGTCTCGTCAATACTACAAACATAACATTTTAAACAGGAACCTGCAAGAACAAAATTTCCAATATCAATGGTCAAATACAATTTGAATACAAGTCATATTAAATGAGTTGAATATTATTAATGAGTTTATTCGCTTCTTTTTTCGTATTGTATTTTCCCAAAATTTCTTTTTTTATAACATTTTTTAGAAGAATTGATAGAATTTTACAATAAAATAAGTTTTTTCAGTTTTAAATGATTTCTAATTCTGTTAAATTTTCATCATAGAAAAATAAATTTTTGTTTGTGAACTATAACCTTTTTGAAAAAGCTCAATTAAAAAATCATAAATAAATTAATTTATTTACATGTTTTGTACAATTCTGAAATTTTGCGATCTTAAAATTATTTTTTTTTTTAAATATTTATTGTTGTTGAAAAATTTAAAAACATACCTTGATTAAATAGTGTGAATAATAAAATACCAAGAAATATTTTTTCTTTTAAACTATATCTTTGTTTTAACATCATGATATTGATGAACAAGAAAACTTATGAATTTAAAATTTATATATATATAAAATATGTTAATGTTCATGAAATTATCCTAATTTTTTAAATGAATAATATTTAAAATTTTGACAATTACTGCCGGAAATTTATGGAAGCGCACACTAACACCTCTGATAATGAACTAATCAGTTCTCTAAGTAGAATCCACATGATAGCATATAAGCAGTATGAAAAATTGACCAATATTTTCATTATCACTGCAGAGTAGGCGACAAAATGAGATAATACTTTTAATTAATATGAAACAACATAATTATTAATAATTAAACTTGTACACTCATACCGTGACCGAACTTATAAATAGAAATCTTTTTTAAATTTAAGGCTTTTTTTATTTTTCTTCATAGTTACTTATTGTGCACTTTCAGAGTTGTTTCTTAAACTCTATTTTCATAGGTTTTGTTTTTTATTTCCTTGAAACTCATGTTCATAAATTCTATTTTCAATAAAATTGAGAAAAAAATATTGACAACAAAACATTTTGGTTATAATATACGTGAAATTAATTTTGTTGAACGAAAGTTTGGTTGTGCCAACTAAAGTTTAATTGGGGCAACGAAAATTTTGTTGATGCAAAAAAAAAATTTTGGTTTTTTTTTCTCAGTGAAGAAAAAAATATTTGTGCTTTTTGATAAAATACATAAATTTTTATGTACAACATATAGGTTTTGATGTTTGTTTTCTTTTTGCAAAAAAATTTCTCCTGTGTTTTTTTATGTTTATTATTATTGAATAAAATATTTCTTTTAGGAAAAATATTAATTTTTATGACTATTTAAAAATTTTTAAATATCATCGTAATGAAAACAAATATTCACAATCTTTGATAACACCTCAAAATTTAGCAAATTTTTCTTAATTCAATTACTAGGGTTTTAAATTTAAAAAGTGTGCCTTATTAACGGTTACTGTTATTATCATTACTTTTTTGAAGGTTCTTTTATGAAATCTTATCTTACATTGTCCACTTACACTAAAAAATAATCGATTTCATTGCCAACTATGTGATTAAAGATTTCCTTAATCACTTAATATATATTTACTGTCTTTAAGCAAACATAAAAAAAATTCTTTGTCTTTTTTGTCCACAAATAATAATCAGAAGAAAAAATGTGCAATATACTTTTGAAGTTTTAGCTCTGATACTACGCCGTTTAAAGTTAAAAAAAATATAGATAAGCAACAATGCTAACATTGTTGCTTTCGTATCTTTTTTACTTTTGACTGTGAAGATTATTTTTCATTTAGATAAAAATTGCCCAAAATTTTAAAAATTAAATTTTTATTGTTCACATATTTTTAAGTACGATATATCATAATGATATAATGGATATAATGTTACGTTTTTGCAACATTATCATGATTTGAATATCAAATATCAGCGTCATATTAAAATTTTATGTCTATTATGTTGGCATCGTTACATTTTTATTTTTCCAAACTAATGATTATAGTAAAAGATAAATAGGATTGAAGTATATAGAAGATTGAATTATAAGACAATATTTTGAAAATATAAATAATTTTATTTTTAAATTAAAATTTTTTAAATTATTTTTAAAAATACAAAAAATAATTTTCTTAAATTGTTCTTGTTCTTTGGTAATAAATTTAAAAATATATGTTTTTTTCAGCACTCCAGACATCATCGAGATTTTTCGTCCACTTTGACGAACATAAGAACCACAAGCCATCCAGATTATCACCAAGATGACTCGAGTTCACCATCATCTTTGGTGTTACACGAGGATATTATTAATCATAGTAAGTCTCATTAGCTTATCTTTTTTTTAACTAAAAATTCTATTTTATTTTTGTTAAATTTGAAAAAAAAACTTTTTACATATAAAAATTTAAAAATTTTTTTTTATTTATTTGAGTTAATTAAATGGCATTTATTTCAAATACAAAAATTCCTGATCCAAATACAGTTTATTTAATTCAAATAAAAATTATTTGGTTCAATTAAATATTTATTTGATAATAGTCAAGTACCTAACTAATTATTCGAATTAAATAAATTTTTTTTAATGCAATTTAAACAAATTTTTTAATTTTTCCATTTTTCAATAATGTTTATTAAAAATGATAAAATATAATTTTTCTAATAATATGCTTATTTGTGCTGCAAAAATTTTTTTGAAAAAATAATAATTAGGTCTCAAATTTAAAACAATTTTTAACTTTGAAATATTCAAAGATTTTTTTTCAAGGACAATTCTTTTTTTTTTTTTTTTTTTTTTTTTTGCTGAATTGCCCTATAGTCGAGTACAAAAAGAAACAATCATATCAGTTTGGAAAATTCATAAATTTTTCAAAATAAATTAATTTAAAATTTTAAAAAACAAAATTTTTTTATCCGGAAAAATTCAAAACTTATTTTTTTTCAAAAACAAATTTGAATCCTAATTATTATTTTTTCAAAAAAATGTTTCCAAGTACAATTAGCACATATTTGGCCCAAAAAATGTTTTTTTTTTATAAAAAAGCACAAAATGGCGTTGCTACCTTTTTTACTTGACTATTTCGAAAAATGGCTGTTTTTTCTTTCTGTTTGGAAGATAATATTGTATTTTGTGAGATGAAAGAAATTTTTGAAAATGAAATAATAAAAGTTTGACTCGCGCGGGAAATAGAAGTGTATATATATATAGGAATTCTGACGGGTTGGGTTTTGGGGGCAAAAAGGGGACATCTGGTAGTCAGTAGTGGATCGCGAAATTCAATATCAGACTTCAGAATTAGCATAGAGATCGACTTCGAGGCAGTGGTACCAACCTCTTTTTCTAGAACTGGCCTCCTCTATAACCTCGAATCCGTTTTACTTTGCCCTCACTTGCCGATCTCGTTTTCTTTTTTTTATATATATATATAGATCGTCTTACTCATAAACCGCGCCAATTGAATTTTTGCCCCCTCTGTATCGAAGGGAAAAATCGATTTCCGCTCCTCCTTGCTTTTTCGGTTTCTTTTTCTCCATTTTACCTCCATATTCCAAGCAGAAAACTTCACAGATATTGATAAGGTTCGATTGAAGGAGAAGGAGATAATATTTATGCCTTTTCCATCATATATATATATATCGAAGGAGATCAATTTTCTAACTCTCGCAACTTTAGAATATTATAACCATCTCGAAAATTCATTACAAATAAGAAAATATCCCATTTACGGAAAAATTTTTGTTGCAACTCATTTTGATTTGGGTATTGAATTGAGTAAACAAAATATTTTCTGATTTCTAGGTTGGCAGCATTTGTAGAGTGTGATTTTGTATTACAATTATTTTTTCTAATATTTCAACAATATCAGAAAGATTTTTTTTATCAGTACGAATATTTAGGGGTAAACGGTACAGTGATTGCCAGTATATAAGCAAAAAGGGGATATATTTATACAAATTACAAATGTTTAATTATCGAAATGAGAAATGAAACCATTTGTAAAGGAATTAAAATATTCCATTACTCTGAAAATAATAATGAATTGTTTATTTAATATTAGTATAAATTTAAAAAAAATAAAAAAATCTTCACATGACAGAAAAAATAGTGATTGTCATTATTTTTACAGTGATTTTACACAGTAAAAACAAAGTCTTAAACCGTTTACACCTTAAATTAAGCCCATATATTTTGCATAAGTCTGTCCTTTTTTAATTGGTCTGACTCCGTTTACACCTTAAATTCAGCCTCAAAAATAGGCTGAAATCAAGATTTCTTTTTTAGTGTGTACAATGATTGCACACTAGACATAAAATAGTAATGTAAATTATAAATTTTGCATAATTTATTAAAGAATGAATATAATTTGAAATTAATAAAGAAGAAGTAATTTTTAAAATAATTTTCTTTTATTAACAATAATAAGATTCATTAAATATGACTTTTAAGTGTAAATAATACTATTAACCTAAAAAATTGGTAAAATTGTCGAATCTGACTCAATTGTAAAAATAAAAATTATTTTTGGCTATTTTGATTTGAATGAATACATGATTTTGAAGTTTTTCATTGCTTAAAGAAGCATATACGAAACACGTTTTTTTACTTTCGGCATTTTTTCGATAGCCTAAAATCATACTTCATATTAAAAAATTGTTAATAAAATATTACAAATCATTCTAATACATGCTGCGGCTCTAATTACATCTTTATTTTAAAAAATTAATTCACCAAATATGAAAAAACGTCCAAAAATTGAAAATACTTATCTCAAAAAAGTATTGAAAATTAACGGTTAATCACTGAAAAATGACATAATAACCAAAAATTAAACATTGCCCGGGGAGAGCAATGACTGTTATTTGTTATTAATTGCAAGATAGTAGTTGTTCTCTATAATTTTTGGTAAATCGAGTCAAATTACGTTAAAACAAATTTTTTTACTTATTAAACTTATTTTCATGCATATAATTAAAAAATAATAATGATATGTATAATTTTTTCGTTAAAAAGTCAAAGAAAGTATCACCACTAACCTTGCAAATTTACAACTAAATTGACAAAATTTTAAAGAGCTAAGGACACTGTTCTCGAAAAGCGCTATTATTTTCATAATAGTGAGTCGAAGAATAAAAATCTTTTTACACTATTAGCAGAATATTCTGTAGAATTTATATAAATAAATAAAACAAAATATTATATGTAAATTTCGTTATTATTTCTGTTTGTAATGTAATGGTGTCAATCACTGTGAGGGAGGCAACAACTGTACCGCTTACCCCTAGTCATTTTTAAGTGAAAAATATTAATTATTTATTTAGATGTTAATTAATTTTATAAATTTTGAAATTTAGTGCTACTATTTAAGTTGGCAGTACCGTTTCTGTTGTCAAAACATATGTTTTCATTTTTCTAACTTAAAAACATATTTCCTTATTTATTATTTTATTACTTCATTACAAGCAGTTTTCAATCGAATACATTGAGCCTAGCATTTTATTTACATTTGGTAATTATATTTCATGCATTTGTGCAAAATTATTCGTTATTTCCCAATATTTTACATTACAGATATTACAGATTTTTTTGCGTTATTACAGCACCGTAATAACGCATTATTACACGTTATTACACGTTATTACACAAGTATTACAGGAAGAGTGTACACTTGACTACCTGAGTAAATTCCCCCTCGCATTAAACTAATTTTCTATATTACAGAGTATTAATTACTTCACTGAATTTATATTATTTGTTCGAATTTTAATTTGTCAAAATTTTTTTTTCAAATTTTCATTTAACAGAATAGCCATTTTTAAACGAATTTTTATTTAGAAAAATTCCATTAAATAGAAATTTCTTTTAGAAGAATATTTGTTTGAATTATTATTTGACAAATTCTGAAAAATAATAATTCAATCAAATAGAAATTCTGTGAAGTAAATGTTTTGTTACATAAAAATTATATAAAAAATTTTATAGAAATAAACTTTTTTTAAATTATATTTTGTGTTATATCCTTTAAATATAAAATTGTTTTCATTTAAAGTTTCTTTTTTTATTTTCATTTAATTTCAATAAATATAAAATTTTCAAGTTTCATATTAAATTTGGTGAGAATATTTAATAAAAAAAAAATTTTCTTTTAAATTTATTTCTAAAGAAGCCAAATGTATGTAGGAAATAAATTTCTTTCATCTTCTAAGCCGTCTCATCTAGCACGACTTCTAGGCAAATAGTATAAACAGGTTTTTGGAAAAATAAAAATTATGAATAATACTAATTCTCTACAATAATAATATTATGAGAAATGATTATACTGTAAATTGAAAATTACAAAAAAAATGTTCTTTCGAAGTTAAAAAATTCTGTCAAATAATAATTCGAAAGTATTTTTATTATATAATCTGACGATTCGAATTCAAAAAATTATAGTCAATTCCTTTTAGATAATATCAATTTTCGAAAAAATAAAAATTCGAAAAAAAAAATTTTAGGGTTTTATCATGCGCCTCGAGCAGCCAATATAAAAATATAAGAATCTTGATTTATTTTTCGATTTCCTAGAAAGTTATTGAAAAATTGCAGATAAAGAAAATTTAATATTAATTCCGCTGTTATACATCATATAGTTAACAATGAAATATTAAAAAGCATTGCAATATTTAAATTAATATACCATAAAAAATTAAAATAATCAATTATAATTATAATTTTATATTAATTTCAAATTCCGGTAAGATAAATTTGTAATTGCATTATTAAAAGTTTTATTTAACATTTTTTTCAAATCTATTTGCTTTTTAATATATTCAAATTAGTTTTTAAGAACATTAGATTTTTCTAAATCCCAATTAAATTCAAAAAATTAATTTTTTTAATATAAAACATTGATAAGTACTTCAACCAATAAGTTAAAAATTAAATTTTTTTTTTTTTTTTTGTGAGAAGTTATTATAATTAAAATCATGAAAATAACAAAAAATTATATTTTTTATATATTAATAATTAAAAATTCTCAATAGTTAAAACGTGTAAAATGAATAAAAATTAAGTTTTTAAATCCAAAAAAATTGCAAAAATAAAAAAAAAATTTTCCTTCGAGCCGGATTTGAACCAGCGACCTATGGATAACCATTTTTAAAATTGCCAACTACAGTCCACCGCTCTACCAACTGAGCTATCGAAGGCTGTTATGAATCATATCGATTTGCTCAAACGGCATCGATAGTTTAAGATGCTGACGTCACATTTAGACCCACTTACCTTTTACTCTTCTCCATCACTTATATATTATACATTAGCAATTGTATATCGTGT